GCCATGAGAGAGAGTTTTCACAGAAAACAATAAGGAGATATGCAAGGAAATCAAGAAAATATTTCAGGTGGTCATTCTAATAGAGTCAATGTGGTGACTAAGGATGCAAGATGAAAAGGTCAGAAGAAACAAGGGATGACATTGTTGTCACTGTAGAAGAGGTAAAACAAATCACCCCTGAAGAAAGTACATTTGACAAAATCAAAGCAACCTCGTTCTATCTTCTGAAGGAGACATCAAAAGTATTTTGTCGATAGTTATCTAAAAATTGAAATAAAGTGCTTGAAACAGGAAATCTCTCGGAAAAAAGGTAATTGTATTCGCAATATTCAAAATAAGAGGATATGTATGTGGAGCTTGTCGGCCGAGCGGACAGCACGCGGGACTTGTGATCCTGTGGTCCTGGGTTCAATCCCAGGCGCCGGCGAGAAACAATGGGCAGAGTTTCTTTCACCCTATGCCCCTGTTACCTAGCAGTAAAATAGGTACCTGGGTGTTAGTCAGCTGTCACGGGCTGCTTCCTGGGGGTAGAGGCCTGGTCGAGGACCGGGCCGCGGGGACACTAAAAAAGCCCAGAAATCATCTCAAGATAACCTCAAGATAACTAAATTACAAACTGGTGTCATTGTCAAGCATGACAAGTGAAGAGTGAGAATGATGGTGATGATGTTTCTCATCATCATGATCATCATTGAGATGATGATCTCAATGATGATGTTTGAGAACTGATGGACCATCTGGAGATGACCAGCTACGTGAGAGAAGAGCAACAAGGACTAAGAAAGAGAAAAAGTCGTGCCTGACAAATGCTCGAATAAGTTCTATGAGAATATGACTAAAATAAGACAGGGAAAAAGAAGGCTGGGTAGACTGTATTTTCCTAGACTGCCAAAAAGCCTTTGACATAGTTCCCCCTTGAAGGACTGTTGTACAACATGGAACAACTGGCTGTGATAACTGGGTTAGGGAGTACCTGAACGACAGAAAACAGAGAGTCACAAATAGAGAGGAAGTTTGAAGATGAAAGCAGGAAGTGGGTCTCCCAGAAGGTTTGGAATGGTGAGGAATGTAAACACAGAAGAGCTGCAGGAGGAAGTTCCAGGAGGACCCTGACAAACTTCAGCAATGTGCAAAACAGATGGTTACTAGAATTTAAGTCCAACAAGTGTAAGTCAGTGAAATGGGAAAGGGAGCAAGGAGACCAGGAGATATCTACACCATTAGGGAAAGATAAAAAACAGGAGTAAGAGGATTTGAAAGTGGATATAATTCCAACACTAGCAGCGGAGAGACACATAAACACACTAACATCAGCGGCATAAGGCATGCTGGTAAACATAAGAATATCAGTTATAACTCGTAATCACGACTCTTTCATGGCCAACTACACAATATTTGTCTGACCAATACAGTGTTGCACCACTGGCATGGACTCTACACTTACGTAGTGTTAAAATGTGCAACAAGACTGGTGCCGGAGCTAAGAAGGTTAAGCTATGAGGACAGGCAAATTGAACTACATCTCACAACCCTAGAAGATATAAGGAACAGAGGGGATATGATCACAACATGCAAGATTCTCATGGGAATAGACAATCTATTGAGAGAACGTAGAACAAGAAGACCCAGGAGGAAACAGGAAACACAAATGCGTCGAAGGAATGTAAGGTAACACTGGCACCATATACGGGTGCTCAACAAGTGGAATTCACTTAAGAAAGAAGTTGTAGAAGCCACCTCCACACACACAAATTTAAATGTACACCTTCAAATATCATTTGAACATCTTCAAATGTAGATATGATAGAGCCCAGTAGGCTCACGCTACCTTGAGGTTACCTTGAGGTGCTTCCGGGGCTTAGTGTCCCCGCGGCCCGGTCGTCGACCAGGGCCTCCTGGTTGCTGGACTGATCAACCAGGCTGTTAGACGCGGCTGCTCGCAGCCTGACGTATGTATAACGTATAACGTATGTACGTATGTACGTATAACGCTTCTGTACTCCAGTTGACAGTTGAGAGGCGGGACCAAAGAGCCAGAGCTCAACCCTAGCTGAGTACACACACAAAGGATCTTCCTACAACAAAGACTCATCGTTGAAACAATAAAGAAATATTAATAGAACACTGGGATTCGCCACCCGCCCCCAGGCAGCCAAAGAACATTCCCAGAAGTACGAAACCCTTTGATCTTCCTCACGCGCCATGATCACCATAATAGCATCTCACTTATTACTTTTATTTCCGGCGTATATTAGTTTATTTTGTCTTTTTTTAAGCAGGAGGGAGGACTCGGGGGAACATGATGGACTTGGGAAGGTTGCTTTCATCTTTAAGGAATTTCATTATATTTGGTAAAATGGGAAGATTTCTTTTATAATTAATTATTAGTGGATTGGGATTGTCATATGTGCATGGGTGTGTGTGTGTGTGTGTGTGTGTGTGTGTGTGTGTGTGTGTGTGTGTGTGTGTGTGTGTGTGTGTGAGAGAGAGAGAGAGAGAGAGAGAGAGAGAGAGAGAGAGAGAGAGAGAGAGAGAGAGAGAGAGAGAGAGAGAGAGAGAGAAGAGAGAGAGAGAGAGAGAGAGAGAGAGAGAGAGAGAGAGAGAGAGAGAGAGAGAGATAAAGTAAGGACTAATTGATTGTTGACCAGTGTATCTGGTCAACAATCAATTAGTCCTTACCTTTGGTTGTTTATAGTGATAACGATAAGAAACAGGTGAGAGGGTTGTTATACGATAGGAACAACAATGAAACCAAAAAGTTCCTTATCTAACAGTCTCCTCAATTTCACTTAGGAATATATATCAGACAATTTTATGTATACAATTTATATAATCTAATTGCCTTTCAGCTTACGTGTCTACGTCAAGGAAGAAGATAGCCTCACGTGGCCCAAATTTCTTGATGCCACAAGTTATCAGTTAAGCAGCTAAGTTATCAGTTAAGCAGCTAAGTTATCAGTTAAGCAGCTAAGTTATCAGTTAAGCAGCTAATTTATCAGTTAAGCAGCTAAGTTATCAGTTAAGCAGCTAAGTTATCAGTTAAGCAGCTAAGTTATCAGTTAAGCAGCTAAGTTAAGCAGCTAAGTTATCAGTTAAGCAGCTAAGTTATCAGTTAAGCAGCTAAGTTATCAGTTAAGCAGCTAAGTTAAGCAGCTAAGTTATCAGTTAAGCAGCTAAGTTATCAGTTAAGCAGCTAAGTATCAGTTAAGCAGCTAAGTTAAGCAGCTAAGTTATCAGTTAAGCAGCTAAGTTATCAGTTAAGCAGCTAAGTTATCAGTTAAGCAGCTAAGTTATCAGTTAAGCAGCTAAGTTATCAGTTAAGCAGCTAAGTTAAGCAGTTAAGCAGCTAAGTTATCAGTTAAGCAGCTAAGTTATCAGTTAAGCAGCTAAGTTATCAGTTAAGCAGCTAAGTTAAGCAGTTAAGCAGCTAAGTTATCAGTTAAGCAGCTAAGTTATCAGTTAAGCAGCTAAGTTATCAGTTAAGCAGCTAAGTTAAGCAGTTAAGCAGCTAAGTTATCAGTTAAGCAGCTAAGTTATCAGTTAAGCAGCTAAGTTATCAGTTAAGCAGCTAAGTTAAACAGTTAAGCAGCTAAGTTATCAGTTAAGCAGCTAAGTTATCAGTTAAGCAGCTAAGTTATCAGTTAAGCAGCTAAGTTATCAGTTAAGCAGCTAAGTTATCAGTTAAGCAGCTAAGTTATCAGTTAAGCAGCTAAGTTATCAGTTAAGCAGCTAAGTTAAACAGTTAAGCAGCTAAGTTATCAGTTAAGCAGCTAAGTTATCAGTTAAGCAGCTAAGTTATCAGTTAAGCAGCTAAGTTAAGCAGTTAAGCAGCTAAGTTATCAGTTAAGCAGCTAAGTTATCAGTTAAGCAGCTAAGTTATCAGTTAAGCAGCTAAGTTATCAGTTAAGCAGCTAAGTTATCAGTTAAGCAGCTGTTATAGTATTTAGTAACAATTCTAACAGTTGATTATTGATCTTCCATAAAAGATCACATTATTTACAAACATTCATATAATTCTTGATATTAAACTTGTAATTACTTTATACTTACAATGTAATTATTACATGTATCTCTTATATATCCATGATTTATTCTGATGTGGTTCTGGCAACCGGTTCTCGCACTTTCGTATAGTCAATATTGACTTATTAAATATGTGGATATGTGACATACTAATTTATTGGGAATATTTTAGTATACCTTGAAAAGTTTCATAGAAAACACCGACCTTACCTAGCCTTCTTGGTATGTTAAGATAAGCATCTTATTGCTTCGTAATTACAATTATTACTTAACCTGTACCTATAATAGGTTAAGTAATAATTGTAATTACGAAGCAATAAGATGCTTATCTTAACATACTAAGAAGGTTAGGTAAGGTCGGTGTTTTCTATGAAGCTTTTCAAGGTAAACTAAAATATTCACAATAAATTAGTATGTCACATATGCTCTTATTTAATAAGTCAATATTGACTAAGAAAGTGCGAGAACGGGTTGGATTCTGCATCTAATTTATTGTGCTAGTAGTATAGTAGTTTCTTAGCACCCGAACCCCCCAAAGAGTGTGTGGGATTCGGCTCATTAATGTAATTTTAATATATAGTCTTCTTAATGTTTTCATATTATATTATAAATTCATAAGAGATCCATAGGCATTAGTTCTAGGATTTATTTTCAATATATTCATTTAATATTATTTACCCTTTTTTAATACAAAAAGGGTGGTCCTTCACAGCTATCGAATTTAATGATTATTTTGTTAGTTGAGTCAGACTTTCCCACAGCAGTTATCTATGTGTATCCATATGTGGTGAAACACATATGAAAAACCTCTCATAGATCCCTGACAAGAGAGAAGAAGCCTAATGACCTGTATGTTGAAAATAACAGTACGTGTCTAAAGTATAAAATTCTATCTATTGTTGTACATGGCATGTTATGTGTATTACGATATAGAATGTATACATTTACATACCTAATATATATGACTAGTTTCTATACTATGATATGACTTGCTGAGTTGGATAAGCGTCGGTTGACTTGCTGAGTTGGATAAGCGTCGGTTGACTTGCTGAGTTGGATAAGCGTCGGTTGACTTGCTGAGTTGGATAAGCGTCGGTTGACTTGCTGAGTTGGATAACTTGCTGAGTTGGATAAGTGTCGGTTGACTTGCTGAGTTGGATAAGCGTCGGTTGACTTGCTGAGTTGGATAAGCGTCGGTTGACTTGCTGAGTTGGATAAGCGTCGGTTGACTTGCTGAGAGTTGGATAAGTTTGGTCGTCGGTTGACTTGCTGAGTTGGATAAGTCGGTTGACTTGCTGAGTTGGATGACTTGCTGAGTTGGATAGTGTCGGTTGACTTGCTGAGTTGGATAATTGTCGTTGAGCGTCGGTTGACTTGCTGAGTTGGATAAGCGTCGGTTGACTTGCTGAGTTGGATAAGCGTCGGTTGACTTGCTGAGTTGGATAAGCGTCGGTTGACTTGCTGAGTTGGATAAGCGTCGGTTGACTTGCTGAGTTGGATAAGTTGGATAAACGTCGGTTGACTTGCTGAGTTGGATAAGCGTCGGTTGACTTGCTGAGTTGGATAAGCGTCGGTTGACTTGCTGAGTTGGATAAGCGTCGGTTGACTTGCTGAGTTGGATAAGCGTCGGTTGACTTGCTGAGTTGGATAAGCGTCGGTTGACTTGCTGAGTTGGATAAGCGTCGGTTGACTTGCTGAGTTGGGAACTGTGTATCGCGGGGCTCGGTGCGACAGTGCTCTCTGATCATCTCAGGCGGGCGGACGTCGGCTCTTGACTCGTGTGTAATTTGCACAGTATTGATCTACTAGTATATATATATATTTATGCTGATGCACATGTATTGGATCAGACTACTGATGTACATCATTTATGCCAGGTGGAAGATGATCTTTATGTTTATTGAGGGGGGATACCTGAGGATTTTAAGTGATTGCTATCGTGCTTTGATATGAAATTGATTCCTCACCCCACTAATTAATGTGTGAGAACCACCATCCTGTACTTGTGTCTACAGCATGCTAGGGGGTTACTGTACCACTGAGGCAGGATACAGCCTGGTGAGAGCTAGTGGGCCTCGTAGCCTGGTGGATAGTGCGCAGGACTCGTAATTCTGTGGCGCGGGTTCGATTCCCGCACGAGGCAGAAACAAATGGGCAAAGTTTCTTTCACCCTGAATGCCCCTGTTACCTAGCGGTAAATAGGTACCTGGGAGTTAGTCAGCTGTCACGGGCTGCTTCCTAGGGGTGGAGGCCTGGTCAAGGACCGGGCCGCGGGGACACTAAAAGCCCCGAAATCATCTCAAGATAACCTCAAGATAGTTCCAAGGGTGTGTGCAGTTTAAGGCCTGTTGATGATTTCGAAAAGCTTTGATTAAGGCTGGATTAACATGATAGAGTATCAGTTGTGGAAAATTTTAGTATCTTACTGTTTTACCTGTTTTATATGCTCCAGTAAACTGGAGCATTTTTATATCCATTTCACTTATAACTAGATAAGTTAGTTAAGATAAGTTAAGTTAAGATAACTTAACTCTAGACAAGTACTGAGACGTTAGCCAGGCTATGTTTTCCAGTGATGCTGCGGAGCATCTTGAGGTTATCTTGAGATGATTTCGGGGCTTTAGTGTCCCCGCGGCCCGGTCCTCGACCAGGCCTCCACCCCTAGGAAGCAGCCCGTGACAGCTGACTAACTCCCAGGTACCTATTTACTGCTAGGTAACAGGGGCATTCAGGGTGAAAGAAACTTTGCCCATTTGTTTCTGCCTCGTGCGGGAATCGAACCCGCGCCACAGAATTACGAGTCCTGCGCGCTATCCACCAGGCTACGAGGCCCCCGAGCATGAAGTCATGACACAGATACTTATACATATTATACATGTATATATATATAAGTATAAGTATATATATATACTTATACTTATACTTATACAAATACTTACAACACCAAAAGCCTTACCATTTGCTTTCATCTATAGCTAGAATATAAACAAAACAGTACAACAAGTACCCACTAACGTAGCTACTAATAAGATTAAGTAAAACAAAAGAATTACGATTGGAAAACAGTACTTTGAATCACTTAATTATCCTGTGTAACAGGGTTTAAAAAGTACTTGATTTATTGCAGGCGATGAGTCACAATAACGGGGCTGAAGTATGTTGACCAGACCACACACTAGAAATTGAAGGGACGACGACGTTTCGGTCCGTCCTGGACCATTCTCAAGTCGAAACGTCGTCGTCCCTTCAATTTCTAGTGTGTGGTCTGGTCAACATACTTGATTTATTTGTTCGTAGTGTGTGTGAATAACCCGACACTCTCTCTACCTCTCCTGGTGAGGTGTGAGAGAAGGGTGAGAGAAGGGAGGGAGGGAGAGGATTTTGGTATATTGGATATTTAAGGGGAACCCAAATTAGATAAGCTGATTTACATCCTCAGATGGGGTGAGGGAGTGGGGAGGGAGGGGGAGGACGATGTGTTATTGTTGAGGGGGATTAACTGAATCACACACATTAACTTTAACAAGGGGGGATTTGTGTGTGGAGGATTGGGCAAGGGATTTAATGCTTCCTGTCACTTAAATGCACAGAGATTTAAGGGATTGTGATTTAGTGGAAAATGATTATATGGATTTAGATTTAAGGGATTTTTTTTTTTTGAATTGTTTTTAAGGGATGTGATTTACAGGATTGTGAGATATTACTGATTTAGTATTTATGTCTTAGAGGATTGGCCGAATCGGTATAATCTTTGATTGTCACAATAAGCCAGGGACTTTTACGGTCCTAATATGGTTAACAATCAACAATGGTTAACAGTTAACAAATGTATTATTTGGTTAGGTAAACTAGACATGGAAAGGTGGTGTATAGATGGGGTATACGTATGGATGAATTTATGTATGATTGAATCTATGAATACATGTACACATGATTGTATTGCTGTATGGATGTATAGATTGATCAATCCAGGTGGATGACTTCCTAGATGGTTGAATATATGGTGTGTCCACTCACAGGATGAGTGGCGCTGCCCAATACTGTCACTATGGCGGTGTGTCCACTCACAGGATGAGTGGCGCTGCCCAATACTGTTACTATGGCGGTGTGTCCACTCACAGGATGAGTGACGCTGCCCAATACTGTCACTATGGCGGTGTGTTCACTCACAGGATGAGTGACGCGGCCCAATACTGTCTCTATGGCGGTGTGTCCACTCACAGGATGAGTGGCGCTGCCCAATACTGTCACTATGGCGGTGTGTCCACTCACAGGATGAGTGGCGCTGCCCAATACTGTCACTATGGCGGTGTGTCCACTCACAGGATGAGTGGCGCTGCCCAATACTGTCACTATGGCGGTGTGTCCACTCACAGGATGAGTGGCGCTGCCCAATACTGTCACTATGGCGGTGTGTTCACTCACAGGATGGGTGGCGCTGCCCAATACTGTCACTATGGCGGTGTGTCCACTCACAGGATGAGTGACGCTGCCCAATACTGTCACTATGGCGGTGTGTCCACTCACAGGATGAGTGGCGCTGCCCAATACTGTCACTATGGCGGTGTGTCCACTCACAGGATGAGTGGCGCTGCCCAATACTGTCACTATGGCGGTGTGTCCACTCACAGGATGAGTGGCGCTGCCCAATACTGTCACTATGGCGGTGTGTTCACTCACAGGATGAGTGGCGCTGCCCAATACTGTCACTATGGCGGTGTGTCCACTCACAGGATGAGTGACGCTGCCCAATACTGTCACTATGGCGGTACTGTGTCCACTCACAGGATGAGTGACGCTGCCCAATACTGTCACTATGGCGGTGTGTCCACTCACAGGATGAGTGGCGCTGCCCAATACTGTCACTATGGCAGTGTGTGGCGCTCACTCACAGGATGGGTGGCGCTGCCCAATACTGTCACTATGGCGGTGTGTCCACTCACAGGATGAGTGACGCTGCCCAATACTGTCACTGTGGCGGTGTGTCCACTCACAGGATGAGTGACGCTGCCCAATACTGTCACTATGGCGGTGTGTCCACTCAGAGGATAAGTGACGCTGCCCAATACTGTTACTATGGCGGTGTGTCCACTCACAGGATGAGTGGCGCTGCCCAATACTGTCACTATGGCGGTGTGTCTACTCACAGGATGAGTGACGCTGCCCAATACTGTCACTATTGCGGTGTGTCCACTCACAGGATGAGTGACGCTGCCCAATACTGTCACTATGGCGGTGTGTCCACTCACAGGATGAGTGGCGCTGCCCAATACTGTCACTATGGCGGTGTGTCCACTCACAGGATGAGTGGCGCTGCCCAATACTGTCACTATGGCGGTGTGTCCACTCACAGGATGAGTGGCGCTGCCCAATACTGTCACTATGGTGGTGTGTCCACTCACAGGATGAGTGACGCTGCCCAATTCTGTCACTATGGCGGTGTGTCCACTCACAGTATGAGTGACGCTGCCCAATACTGTCACTATGGCGGTGTGTCCACTCACAGGATGAGTGGTGCTGCCCAATACTGTCACTATGGCGGTGTGTCCACTCACAGGATGAGTGGCGCTGCCCAATACTGTCACTATGGCGGTGTGTCTACTCACAGGATGATGTGGCGCTGCCCAATACTGTCACTATGGCGGTGTGTCCACTCACAGGATGAGTGGCGCTGCCCAATACTGTCACTATGGCGGTGTGTCCACTCACAGGATGAGTGGCGCTGCCCAATACTGTCACTATGGCGGTGTGTTCACTCACAGGATGAGTGGCGCTGCCCAATACTGTCACTATGGCGGTGTGTCCACTCACAGGATGAGTGGCGCTGCCCAATACTGTCACTATGGCGGTGTGTTCACTCACAGGATGAGTGGCGCTGCCCAATACTGTCACTATGGCGGTGTGTCCACTCACAGGATGAGTGGCGCTGCCCAATACAGTCACTATGGCGGTGTGTTCACTCACAGGATGAGTGGCGCTGCCCAATACTGTCACTATGGCGGTGTGTTCACTCACAGGATGAGTGGCGCTGCCCAATACTGTCACTATGGCGGTGTGTTCACTCACAGGATGAGTGGCGCTGCCCAATACTGTCACTATGGCGGTGTGTCCACTCACAGGATGAGTGGCGCTGCCCAATACTGTCACTATGGCGGTGTGTCCACTCACAGGATGAGTGGCGCTGCCCAATACTGTCACTATGGCGGTGTGTCCACTCACAGGATGAGTGGCGCTGCCTAATCCTGTCAGCGTTACGGACCATAAAAAAATAACATTTGCTCGGACGGAATTATATTCGACTGGTTGGATGGTTGGATAGACGGATGTGAGGATAGATGGATGTCTGGATTAATGGATAAAGCCACTGTGAGTGGGACGGAGCCAGAGTTGGTTCTCGGCTTGAAATTGACTGGTTGACTCTGATTAGGATCTCTATACACAATGGTAGACGAGGAGAAGGTTGTGGTGGGTGCCTCCTTCACTCCCTGCTGTTTAACAATTCTCAAGTGAACTACAAATGCTGATTAACTCTTAGAGACACCTGGAAGGAGTCAATTAACTCACTCAGGTGTCTGGAACACGGAACAAGGCTCTCGGGAAGTAATAAAGCACACATGAAAATCGTACACGAATGGTTATATATTGATAACACACTAAGCCTAATGACATCCTTTTACAAATCAACATATAAATATCCAGAGAAATCATTGTCTGACGCCCAAGAGCTTGAGCTTAACCATTGGCAGTA